ATCCCATCCCATCCCATCGATCCCACCCCATATTCCCACAGCTCTCACCTACGGCACCTCGTGCATCACCGTGGCCGCTCTGTCCTCGCTGCTGGGGGGGGGCGTCCTGCAGGTGAGAGCCCCCCGAGACCCTAAAGCCCCTCCTTCGGCTTCTACCCCTCCCCCCCCCAAAAACCCCAAACCCTCCCAAAAATCCCCAACCCCCCCCAGGCCCCCCCGCTGTCACTGCCCACCCGAGCGGGGACACAGCAGGGACACAGCGGGGACACGGCCACGCTCTGGTGGCACCTGGAGAGTCCTCGAGGAGGGGGTTGGGGCAGTGCCAGGCACCCCCTGGAGCTTTCCCAGACCCCAAAACCCCCCCAAAAAACCTAAAAATCCCCAAAACCCCCTGCTGCCAGTGCCCATCCAAGCGGGGACACAGCGGGGACACGGCCACGCTCTGGTGGCACCAGGACAGCCCTCGAGGAGGGGGGGTTGGAGCAGTGCCAGGCACCTCTTGGAGTTCTGCCAGACCCCAAACCCCCCCAAAAACCCCAAAAAACCCCCAAATCCCCCAACCCCCCCGTACTGTCACTGCCCACCCAAGCGGGGACACAATGGGGACAGAATGGGGACACGGCCACGCTCTGGTGGCACCCGGAGAGCCCTCGAGGATGGGGGGGTTGGGGCAGTGCCAGGCACCCCCTGGAGCTTTCCCAGATCCCAAAAACCCCAAAAAATCCCCAACCCCATAAACCCCTCCCCACTGTCACTGTCCACCCGAGCGGGGACACAGTGGGGACACAATGGGGACACAGTGGGGACACGGCCACGCTCTGTGGGACCCGGAGACCCCTCGAGTAGGGGGGTTGGGGCTGTGCCAGGCACCCCCTGGATCTTTCCCAGACCCCAAAACCCCCCCAAAAAACCTAAAAATCCCCAACCCCCCCCCGCTGTCACTGCCCACCCGAGCGGGGACACAATGGGGACACAATGGGGACACGGCCACGCTCTGGTGGCATCTAGAGAGTCCTCGATGAGGGGATTGGGGC